ATCAGTAAGTGCTTCAAGTCATCCTTACTTTCAGCAAAGTTGTGTCATCTATGTATCACAGGTTGTTAGTGAGTCTTCCTCCAATCCTTCTTCATATAATCCAGCTTCTTGGATTATTTGCTCAGTATACAAATTGAATAAGTATGATGAAAGGATACAACTCTGATGCACTCTCTTCTTGATTTTAAATCATGCGGTAATAGTGGTGTCACAATATTTGCCCTCTGTGATTACTTTATTTCACTAGCATTGTGTTTATCCACATTGTGTGATGTTTCGAAGATTCATTGTTGTTCTTTAATGTTGGATAATATTCCATTGTGTATATGTACCATAGTTGTTGATGTGTTTATCCACTGGTGGGCACTTAGGTTGTTTCTGTCTTTTTGCTTTTGTGATTAGTGCTGTAATTAATATGAATGTGCATGTTTGTGTCATGGCTCTTACTTCTGTAGGATATATACTTAGTAATGAGATTGTTGGATTATATTGTACCTCCATTTCTTAACTTTTTAAAGAAGTAACATACTGTTTTTTACGTTGGTTGTACCATTTAGCCGTCCTACTAGCAGTGTATGAGAGTTACAGTATCCCAACACCCTTACCAGCAGTTGTTTTCTGGTTTTTTTTTGGGGGGGGGGGTGAGTGCTGTTATTTCCATAGTGAGGTGATGCCTCATTGCTACTTTGATTTGCATCTCTCTAATGGTCATGAGCATCTCTTTATGTATTTGTTGGCTGCCTGAATGTCTACTTTGGTGAAATGTCTGTTCATATCCTTTGCCCATTTTTGAGTTAGATTATCTTTTTGTTGCTGAGGTATTGCCATTTTCTGTAAATTTTAGAGATTAGTCCTTTGTCAGATACGTCATTGCCAAAATTTTTTTCCCTGTCTATAGGTTCTCTTTTTACTTTTTCGGAGAAGTCTTTTGATGCACAAAAGTATTTCATTTTTAAGAGGTCCTAGCCATCTAGTTTATCTTCAGTTATTTGCAAATTTTTATTTCTATTTGATGAACTTATTTATGCTGTAAATTAGGGCTCATATGTTTTTCTTCCATGATCTTTATACTTTTAGGTTTTACTTTTAGCTCTTTGATCCATCTTGCATTAGATTTTGTATGTAGTGTGAGGTATGGATCCTGTTTGATTTTTCTGCAAATGGGTATTAAGTTCTGCCAGCACCATTTATTAAAGAAACTCTCTTTTCCATTTAATGGATTTTGGTCCTTTGTTGAAGATCAGCTGTCCGTAGGTGGATAGATTTCCTTCTGAATTCTCCATTCCATTGGTCTATGTGTTTGTTGTTGTACCAGTACCAGGCTGTGTGGACTATCGTGGTTGTATACTAGGTTCTGAAATCAAGAAGTGTGAAGCCTCCTGCTGTGATCATCATCTTCAGTGTTGTTGTTGTTGTGCGCCATTGAGTCAGACTCGACTCATAACTACCCCTCCTTGGGTTTCCAAGGCAGTATCACTACGGAAGTAGATTGCCCAACCTTCCTTCCGAGGAGTGGCTGGTGGGTTTGAACCACCAACCTTCTAGATAGCAGTCAAGTGCCGTAAGCACTATGCTACCAGAGCTCCTATCCAGGAGCTTTCCTTTCTATGAAAAGTTGGTGATTAGTTTTTCCAACTTGGAAACTGAATGGAATCTGGATTGTGATTACATTATATTAAAGATCACTTTTGGTAGTATTTCCATTTTCACAATGTTAAGTCTTCTATCTGTGAACATGGTATGTTCTTCCATTATGTAGGTCTCTTTTGGTTTCGTGCAGTAGTATTTTGTGTTTTGCAGTGTCTTTGTATAAGTCTTTTATGTTCCTGGTTAGTATTTCATCTTTTTGGTGACGATTATAAATGGTATTGTTTTCCTGATTTCTTTTTCAGAGTTCTTATTGGCGTAGAGGAATCCAACTGATTTTTGTATGCTGATCTTCTACCCTGCCACTTTGCTGAACCTTTCTATTCTATTAGTTCCAATAGCTTTCTTGTAGAATCTGTGGGAATTTCTGTATGTAACATCATCATGTGCAAACAGGGATATAACTTCTTTCTTACCAATTTGAATGCCTTTAATTTCTTCCTTGCCTTCCTAGTCTAGGTAGGACTTCCAGTGCAGTATTGACTAAGAATGGTTATAAAGGGCATCCTTGTTGAGTCCTGTTCTCAAGGGTAATGCTTTCAGTCTTTTTCCATTGAGAATAATGTTAGCTGTTGGTTTGTGTGTATACCCTTAATTATGTTGCGGAATTTTCCTTCTATTCCTATTTTGATGAGAGTTTTTATCAAGGAAAGGTGTTGAATTTTATTATGGCTTTTCTGCATCAATTAATGTGGTTTGTGGTTCTTTTCCTTTGGGTTATGTTGATTGATTTTTCAAATGTTGAACTAGTCTTACCTGGTGTGAATCCCACTTGGTCATGATTTATTGTATTGTTTATTTTGTTATGGTTTTAGATTATATTGGCTGGCATTTTGTTGAGAATTTTTTCATCTACATTCATGAGGTTTATCATTTTCTTTTTTAGTGGTATCTTTGCCTGGCTTTGGTATCAGTGTTATGTTTGCTTTATAGAATGAATTTGATAGTATACCATCCTTTTCTAGATTCTAGAATAGTTTCAGTAGTACTGGATTCATCTCCTCTCTGAATGTTTGATAGAATTATCCAGTGAAGCTGTCTGGGCCAGGACCTTTCATTTTGAGAGTTTCTTTTTCAGTTTCTTCTTTTGTTTTAGGTCTGTTCAAATTTTCTACCTCAGTCTGTGTTAGTTTAGGTACGTAATGTGTTTCTAGAAGTTTGTTCATTTCTTCTAGGTTTGTAAATTTGTTGTGAAGAGTTCTTCATAGTATTCTGTTATTATCCCTTTTAATTCAGTTGCTTCTAGTGACATCTCTTATTTCATTTATTTGTGTTACTTGCGTTTTCCCACTCTTTTCCTTTGTTAATTTGGCCAATGATTTGTCAATTTTATTAATCCCTTTAAAGGACCAACTTCTACTCTTGTTGATTGTTTTTATTTTTGTTTCATTTATTTCTGCTCTAATCTTTATTATCTCCTTTCTTCTGATGACTGTGGGTTTGTTTTGTTGCTCTTTTTCTATTAACAAATAGAATTGTTATTTCTGTTAATTTCTATTATTTGTTATTCTATTAACAAATGGAATTGCAGGGTTAAGGTTTTGATTCGGGCTCTTTATTCCTATTTGATGTTTGTTTATTGCTTTAAAGTGACCTCCGAGCACTGCTTTTGTTATGCCTCAGAGATTTTGATATGTTGTGTTTTCATTCTCATTTGATTCTAGAAATTATCATATTTCATTTGTTAATCCTTCTATTACCCAGGAATTTTTGAGCAGGGTGTTACTCAATTTCCATGTATTTGAGTTTTTTTCCTTGTTCTTTCTGTTACTGATGTCTAATTTTATAGCATTGTAATCCAAGAAGATGCTTTGTATTATTTCAGTGTTTTTTAATTTGTTGATGGTAATTTTGTTGTCTAACATATGTTTTAGTCTGGAGAAGACTGGAAAAGAATGTATACTGTGCTGTTGTTGGATGGAGTGTTTTGTATATTTCTATGCGCTTAAATTGGTTGATTGTGTTTAGTTCTTGTGTGTCTTTGCTGAGTTTCTAGTTCTGTCTTTCACTGAAAGTGTTGTATTAAAGTCCTCTGACTTACTGTGGAGTCATTTGTCTTTTCAATTCTGTTAAAGTTTGATTTATGTATTTCAGGGCTCTTTCATTGGGTGCATAGATATTTATTATGATTACCTCCTTTTGTTCAGTTGATCCTTTAATCATTATATACTCCATTTCCCTAATTTCAGACTTGTTAGGTGTATTTTATCTTGGAAAATTCTATGTCTTTGGATTCTTCTTTGTTTGAGTTGGTTTCTGGGTGATAATGTCATGTGTCTTAATCTCAGATTGTTGTCTGACATTGTTGGTTCTCTGTCCAAAGGACTTCCTTTAGTATTTTTTTTAAGTTGGTCTCATTTTTACACATTCCCTTAGTTTTTGTTTATCTGCAAATGCCCTAATGTTGCCATTGGAACTGAGGGACAGTTTTGCTGGATATGTAATTCTTGGTTGGCAGGGGGCGAATAGTGGGCAGAAGAAAGTAGGAGGGAGCAGTGGGAGGTGCACGTAACGTTGCACTGCCACTGCCTCTTTGCTGGGTCGGTGGAGGGCTGAAGAGAGCACTGCTGGGTCAGTAGGCCATAGCGTTAGGCCAGGTGATTGGGGCCATGCTGAAGTGGCCTTCTGCCACTTGGCAGGGTCAGCAGGCAGGGGGTGGGATGGCAGTTGATACTGAGTGGGGCCAAGGGGGAACACTTGTACCTTGGTCTCTGGCAGTCAGGGCTGCCAAGATAGGTAGTTTGTACCCCTAATCACCAGGAGGGTGGAGGATAGGGGAGAGTGTTTCTCTCCCTGGTCACTAAGACAGGTTGCTTAGGTTCTTCCCATTGGCTGCAGCCAGCAATTGGGACCTCATTTCACTCCAAGTATGTTTACACAGTTGCTCTGTATCAAGGTTTACCAACACTGTTATCACAGAAAAGATAGGCAAAGGTTAGAATGATATAAGATGATATAAATAATAGACCAGAGAAGATTAAAACTATAACACAGTTAGCAAGGCTGTTTCTGGATCATGATGACATGCAGAAGACTCACCCTTGTATTTCTTGTTTCCATCTTTCTCATGAGTTCTACATTTACATTTTTTTAACTATTTAAGGTTACATCTGGGTATTCCATGGATATCTCAAAAACCAAACCTTGATAATGTCTTTTATTATTCAGGGACACTCCCCATTTCCCCTTAAATTTCCACAAGCAAAGAAATTCTCTATTTGAAAAGTGTTCGGTCTTCAAGGATTCAGTTGGAAGTCCTGTCAGAAGTATAGCAGTGAACAGCAGATCTCTGAGAGAGAAATGGTGTGAAGAAATCTTATCTATAGATTTTCGTGGTTTCTCTGTTGTTATAGGTCCAGCATGTCTGGCATGCACCTAGTTAAGCAAGGTCGAGACCGAAAGAAAATAGACTCACAGCGAGATTTCACCGTGGCTTCTCCAGCAGAATTTGTTACTCGTTTTGGAGGCAATAAAGTGATTGAGAAGGTAAGTTGTAACTTGCTAAATGATTTTTTTCAAAAGTAGATGAAGTTTAATGCCTTGTTTTCTGTTTTTGCTGAAAACTGTTACTTGGATTTTTGGAGACTTTGCCTCTTTATATGGAATTACCCTTTTCTGCCTTCCTGCTGTTGTTGTTGTTGTTATGTGCCGTCGAGTCGGCCCCGACTCAGCGACCCCTCCTTGAGTTTCTGAGGCAGTGTCACTACGGAAGTAGGATTGCCCAACCTTCCTTCCAAGGAGTGGCTGGTGGGTTTGAACCGCCAGCCTTCTGGTTAGCAGTCAAGTGCCTTAGGCACTGTGCTACCAGAGCTCCCTTCTGCCTTCCTAGCATCCTATTAAATAATTTTACTGTCCAATAATATGTATTTAAAACTCAAAACCAAACTCACTGCCATTAAGTCGATTCCGATCATAGTGAGCCCCTTTGAGTTTCTAAGGTGGCAGATCTTTATGGAATTAGATTGCCCAGTCTTCCTTCCGCGGAGTGGCTGGTGGGTATGAACTGCCAGCCTTATGGTTAGCAGTCAAATGCCTTAGACATTATGCCACCAGAGTCTAATGAAGATGAAATAGTGGTTACTACGTACTTCTTGAAAGATCTTGTGATTTTACAGAGTTGGGCAGCACTGATCTGAGAGGGTATGAGGTATTAATTGGTTTGTGGCAGCAGGAAGATACTACGTGTCACAGCATTGCATTTAGAGCTAAGGAAGTAGAGTTTCAGAACAAAAGTTCTAAAACAGTTTGATATGCTATATCTTACTGGCTTCCACCAGGAATTTGAAAATATTTAGAGGGGATATACCACATGCGATACTTAGAAAGATTTCAGGTATTTTGAAATGTCACAAGTAATTTTGTGTCACTTTTATCTAAACCATGTCAGAGCTGAGAAGATGACTTGGTTGGAATAGCTTGCCGTGATTAAAGGATTGAACCCTGTAAGTCCTACTCCTGAAAGTATTATTCAGCGATGTTCTCTGTTAGTCTTCCAGTAAAAATAGATTATGTGTCTCCTTGCTTATGTTTCCTTGGGGCAAGGTTATAAGAGAAGTAAGGTGATGAAAAGTTAGTTTACAGAGAAGTCACAGGATGCTTTCATTCTTCACTGTTTTTCTTAGGAACACTCTTTTTATTTTATTTATTTATGTTGTGCTTTAGGTACAAATTTACAGACCAGAGTTTGTTATACATTCAACATTTCGTGTACATTTGGTTTCACTCCCCAGTTACCACCCCAAACCCTAACCCACTCTCCTCCCCTCTCTTCCCAGTAACCCCCACTCCATGGCCCTGTTAGTTAGGCACTCCTGTTGGTCCTGCATTTCCTCTGTGTGAATGGTGCCCCATGGTCAATTGTTCCAAGAGATGCATCTCCAGAGAATATGTGGGTGCATCACTCTGGGTTGAGTGGTCTATGTGTATGTCTTGTTTACTATTGGGCTGAGAGCAAGCCCCCAGGAGTGAGTTTTACTCCAAGCCTAAAGTGTATCCCAGGTCCATAGTATTGGGGGTCCCACCAGACTCCATCCAAACAGTATGAACACTCTTTTTAGCAGGCACATATTAAGGTATTTGGTTAGGTAGCATTTTAAAATAACATCATCTTGGTCATGTGGGAGCCTGGTGGTTCCTTACTGCTTACACCAGCAATAAGAATTCCTCATTGAAAATTTGATTTTTTGAGAGAATAGATGACATCTCTTTTTCTCTATCATTACCTTTCTTTTTCACTCTTCTTCAATTCCTGTCCTCTCATTCTCCCAGGTTCTTATTGCCAACAATGGCATTGCAGCAGTGAAATGCATGAGGTCAATTCGTCGGTGGTCTTATGAGATGTTTCGAAATGAGCGTGCAATCCGATTTGTTGTCATGGTCACACCTGAAGATCTTAAAGCCAATGCAGGTGAGTTATCAGTGTTAAGATATCATCATCCTCAACCATAAAGCATTGAATAGTACAGCCTTTAAAAAGGAGACTGTTAGCTTTGGGAAATTCCCAAACCCTAGGATTTCTAATGAAATCCCTTAAAAAGAATTTCTCTTTAAGGCAAACATTGCTGTATGAGCTGATAGAGGGGTGGACAGGCTGAACTATTAAGTATGTCTATGCACGGGAGAGTGTGCCCATGACCATATGTAGGGTTGGCAGACAATGTTTCTACAAGTATATTTGTATG